CTTGAGCCCAGGAGTTGGAGGTTGCTGTGAGCTATGAAGCCACAGCACTCTACCCAGGTGGATAGGTTGAGGCTCTGTCTCAAAAAAAAAAAAAAAGATTCACGGGAGTCCGCCCGGAGCCTCCAAGAATTTAATTCAACTTGGCCAAGTTAGTTGGGACTGGTTGAGTTTTGACACTCTTAATATTATTTGAATTATTTATTTATGTTTTTATACATGCATACATATATATGTATATATACATACATGTAAATCCCGATATAACATATAATACATACATAATACAGATTTCAGGTGACTCTAAATACAACCTTGATTTTAACTGCAGTTAGCATTCAGGATGAGTACCTAATAAAGTAGAGGCATCCTTTTTCTTTTCTTTTTTTTTTTTTTTTTTGGTGATATAATTCACATAAGGTAAAATTCATCCTTTTAATATGTATAATTAAATGGTTTTTAGTATATTCATAAAGTTGTGCAACCATCACCACTATCTAATAGCAGAACATTCTCATCAGAAAGAAATTCCATAGCTGTTAATAGTCACAATCCCCCTCCTTCCCAGCCCCTGCCAACAACTAATCTTCTGTGTCTGTATGGATTTGCCTATTCTGGATGTTTCATATAAATGGAATCATACTATATGTGGCCATTTGTCTGGCTTCTTTCACTTAGTATAATATTTTCAGGATTTACTCATGTTGTAGTATTTCATTCCTTTTTATGGCTGAATGATATCTCCTCATACGGATATACCATATATTGCTTATCCATTCATCAGTTGATGAACATTTGCCTTGTTTTCACTTTTTGGCTATTATAGATAATGAATGTTATGAACATTCATGTACAAGTTTTTGTAAGTACATATATTTTCAATTCCCTTGGGTGTATACCTAGAAGTGGAATTGCTGGGTCATATGCGAAGTCTATGTTTAAGTTTTTGAGGAATTACCAGAGTGTTTTTTTAACATGCCTGCACAATTTTGCATTTCCACCAGCAATGTATGAGGGTTCTGATTTTTCCACATTCTTACCAATAATAGTTTTTGTCTGTCTTTTTTTTTTTATTATAGCCAACTTAGTGGGTATGAAGCAGCATTTCATTGTGGGTTTTCAAATTTTGTTACTGAGGCCAGGTGAGGTAGCTCATGCCTATAATCCTAACACTCTAGGAGGTCAAAGCCGGTGGATCACCTGAGGTCAGAAGTTTGAGACCAAATTGAGCAAGAGTAAGACCTGTCTCTACTAAAAACAGAAAAACTAGCTGGACCTTATGGCGGGTGCCTGTGGTCTCAACCACTCATGAGGCTGAGGCAAACAGGTCACTTGAGCTCAAGTTTGAGGTTGCTGTGAGCTATGATGCCATAGTTCGCTACTCAGGGAAACAGAGTGAAACTTTATATAGATATATTTTATTGAAGTCACAGAAAAGAATGTATCATTATGGTTTTGATTTACATTTTTCCAATCCCTAAAGATGTTGAGGAGCCTTTCATGTGTTTATTGGCCACATATACGTCTTCTTTGGTGGAATGTCTATTCAAATCCTTTGCCCTTTTTTTTTTTTTTTTTTGAGACAGAGCCTCAAGCTATCACCCTGGGTAGAGTGCATGGCATCACAGCTCACAGCAACCTCCAACTCCTGGGCTCAAGAGATTTTCCTGCCTCCACCTCTCAAATAGCTGGGACTACAGGCGCCTGCCACAATGCCTGACCATTTTTAGAGATGAGATCTCACTCTGGCTCTGGCTGGGCTGGAACTCTTGAGCTCAGGAAATCCACTTGCTTCAGCCTCCCAGAGTGCTAGGATTATAGGCATGAGCCACCGTTCCTGACCAAGTAGTGACATCTTAATAATCCTGTCTACCCCTGGTATAAGGGAACATCTTCTACCCTTCTTTCTCCCACTCAGAAATTCTTCCAGAATTCTCTTTGTGGAGGACAGGAGGCTGGGCAATTTAGCATAAAGATCTCAAGACCGTTTACTTTGGATAACTTCAATAATCCAAGCGATGGGATCCAGAATAGTGGATTTTTAACAGAAACCTTACTGGAGACAACAGGAACTTGTGATTAGAAAAATTGACGGGTTGGCTGAAAGATATAAACCAATGAGCATTTAAAGCAGTCTACCAGTTCTTAAATGAATATAAATTAAGTAAAGTATAAAAGAAGTACTAATTTAGGTCTTAGAGAATCACAATGTTTCTTCCTTAGGTCTTAGTCCAATGCCATCCCTATGATTATATGTTACTCAGTATTTATTGATGTATTTTATGAGTCAGGCACTGTGCTATATACTGGTTGTATAGTGATCAATTATACATAATCTCACTCCTTATGTGGCTTAGTTTCGTGCAGGGGTGGGCAAACTTTCTGTAAAGAGCTAAAGAATAAATATATTAGGCTACGAGGGCCAACAAACTAAATTAAGAATATTGTGTAGGCACTTACATAATAAGAGATAAATAAATGTCCACAAATGTTTTATTGACAACATTCAAAATATAATAGTAATAATTGAGTAGTTTTTGTAATACAGGTTTACTAGCGAGAAGAGTGGCATTTTTATGGAGGGGGAATAATATTTCACATAACTGAGGTTCAAAGGGAATGTTTCCTGTCATAAGAATTAGAGGCAAATATTCATTGGTTAAAGCTTATCTTTAATGAGATTTTATGTATTTCGTCTTTGAAAAAAATTTTTCACACAAATAAGTACTGCTATATACTGGTATCAATTAACAAGCATATGATTTTAATTGAGAAGATTCATATCTTAGAAGACATTTATAGAATTCTATTAAATTCTTCTCTTGATTTTTGCCTCTTAGCATGTCATTACAATGCAGATTAATCACTTTCAATTGAAGTTTAGGTGGAAGTTCCTCAATTGCACAGCTGAATTGACTTAATTTAATTTGATTGTAGAGATGGAGTCTCCTTCTTGCTCAAGCTGCTCTT